AAAAAAAAAAGCTAATCCGCAAAAAAAAACAAATCGAATAATTTAAAAAAAAAACCGATAAATAAAAAAAAAAGTTAATTTTAAAAAAAATCGTTAAATAAATAATGTTAAATATAAAAAAAAATACTAATAATAAAAAAATTCGATAAATAAAAAACAATAAATAAAAAAAAAAAACCAATAATAAAAAAAAGTTAATACATAAAAAAAAAAAAACAATTAATTTAAAAAAAAACCAATAAAAAAAAAAATTAAAAAAAAAAATTATAAATAAAAAAAATCCGTAAATAGTCAGAAGCCTAAAGAAAAGTTTTTTAGAATGAATAATCCTTGGTTGTGAGGAGGAGTTTTTGGGATTGTTGTGATAGTAGCAGTAGCGGTTTATTACTTTTTCTGTGAATCTCAAAAAGGAGAAAAGACCGAGGAGGAAAAAAAAATCGATAATAAAAAAAAGTTGACATGTAAAAAAAAATCAAATAATTTTTAAGAAAACCCAATAAATAAAAAAAAAATTTAAAAAAAATTCATAAATAAAAAAAAAGAAAATCCGTAAAAAAAAAAATTTAAAAAAAAATTTAATTTAAAAAAAAAAACGATAAATAAATACATAAAAAAAATAATAATAATAACAAATAAAAAAAATCCGTGATATGATCCGAACAATGCCTAGATAAGGTGCTTGAGTTGCTTAAAGGGAGTTAGAGATGAGTATACTAAATCTGATATTGTGATTAGGCTCTATGGCTGGGATAGCAATGCAAAGATCTCATGTAATTAGGCTCTATAACTGCCGCAGGCAGTACAAGACCTGATAGCAGTGCAATGAACTCACGTTGTGATTAGTGTCGCATAGTTGCGGAATAATAATATTGATTGCATGAACTATGTAGTAATCAATAGCGAAAGAAATAATATATAAGGCATCGATCCGAATGGAGAAGTGCCTAACTTTCATTCCCGAATTACCTGGTGTTATTCTTAGTGAATAAACTGTTGTCTGTGTGAATACAACATCGGTGGTAGTATCTGGTACGATACTCCAGTAATTCGTATAAATTGCCAAGCGAGTAAAGACCGATAGTAAAAGTCTACAAATACAAGGTAGACTAAGTAACTACGTGACAATTAGGCTCGGTGGATATGATAGCAATACAAGGACCTCATGTGATTAGGCTCTATGGCTGCCACGGGTAGTGAAGAATCTCATGTTTAGTGATTAAGCACTATAACTACGATAGCAGTACAAGAATTTCATGTTGTCCATGGCTGCGATAGCAATGTAAGAACCTCACGTTGTGGTTAGTAGCTATGATAACAATACAAGGGCCTCATGTTGTATTTAGGCTCGCAGGCAGCACAAAAACCTCATTTTTGTCAATTAAGCACCGCAACTACAATAGCAGTGCAAGGACCTCACGCTATAGTTAGGCTTCATAGCTGCAATAGCATAAATTAATCAAAATTCAACTAAATATTTTTTTGAAACAAAAGAAGCTATTATATAATCTACTCTAAGCCATATCTTATTGAAAAAAAAAAAGATAATGATAACGCTTTCCTGCGTAATATTGTCTATGCATACTTTATTTATAATTTAGTTATATCTACAATTTACAAATCGGATGAATAAAAACCTGCAAAGCACAGAACAATTGATGAAGTACAAGGTGAAAAGTTTAATTTAAAGAGATTCTACGAACATATGTACGTACAATAAGTAAACAGAGGTCTATCTGATTGAATTTAAATGGTGTGTAGCTAATTACTCAATAATAACTAGCACATATTCAAGATGTGCCATAAAAAGAAAACATTATATAAATATTATAAAATTTAACTAATAAGACACGAGCGATAAACATTAAGTTTACTATATATTGTACTGTACATGTATTTTTAGCATATAAATTCAAAACAAAAGTTTCATAGCAATGCATGCATCAAATTATGGAATCAAATGTTGATTTAACTTATTGAATCTTATAAATACAACTCGAATATGATAAAAAAAGATTCGAGGGCATGCTCAGAATGATTAGAACGATCAGATAGCCATATAAGAAGTCGTGATCATATAAAATTTTTATACAAAATCCTTTTTGTTTTAGTCTAAAAGAAGATGTAGCGGATCACGAGCAAGGTTGCAACCAATAAATAAGATGCCTAATGCTAATCATAAACTTTATTAGAAATGATCTGCTGCATGTCGACAAATAAAGTTTAGAGGGATTAATTAAAAAATTATAATTTAAAAAATACAATTAAATAAAAAATTAAACTAAAAAAAAAGTTAAAAAATAAATTAAAAAAAAAACAAAAAATAATTAAAAAACATAAAAAAATAATTAAAAGTATTAAAAAAATTAAAAAAAAATTAAATGTCTAAAAACCTAAGACAAAGAAAAAAATTAGAAACTCGAACCCGGGGCAACGCCCGGGTCTTAACAGCTAGTTGCTTCCGCTAATTTGAGACTCAAAAAATTGGGGTAGAGGAGTGGTGCTTATTTTAGGAACTATACGGTAAATAGTCACAAACTAATCACAAAATTGAAGATTTCCGCCCATATGATTACAGGTAGAAAAAATATTAATTTTGTCTCGCGAGTTTGTTGGGTACACGGTGTGACAAATAATGTAGGTCAAAATTTTAAAATGCTATTTATGTGTGCATGTGATGTATAATATACATGAATCTTAATTTTCACTATTTGAAAAATTGCATCACACCGGGTACTTGAGTCAGTAGTTGAGGTCGGAACCGGTTGTAAATTTATTAACCGAATCGGATTTACATGCAAACCGAATTGAACCGGATTGTGTAAAATCTACGTTACAATATTTTGAATGATCTACAAGAATTCTGATTGGTTAAAATAAAAATAAAACCGAATTGGAATACTACCAACCGGTTTATTATAGAATTCGTTTACTTTAAATCCGATTACTATACTATTAAAAACCGGTTCAACCCGAATTTAAAGTCGAGTTATAGTAACCGGTTCCGACCTCTAGTCAGTAGTTTACGGCAACTAACTAAAAGCAATAAAATCGAATTCATGTTAATGATATATGTGAAATCATAGATTTATAGCGCCCAATCAAATGCTTTTACGACCTCGCTATTCTACAATATGACTATGTTCCTAGTATATATGGGCAGTGTTCTGAGAAAGGGCCCAAATTGATAAAAAAATTTTCTTCACAATAAATCAATCATCTGTGAACTATTGATCAGAATTATATAATTTTAGTACCATTCGATTCCTCATAATAAGACGAAACAAATGACACCAAAATCATGCAACTTTGATCAGTAGTTCACAAGATAATTGATTTTTTGGGAAAAGAATTTTTTTATCAATTTGGGCCCTTTTCTCAGAACACTGCCCATATAATTGTCATAATTATGCTATCCAACCAAATGTAAGATTTTGTTTACACATCCTAGATGACTGTTAACCATACTCTCAGTTATGCAGGCATGATTACGTTCTTGATGTTTGCATTTTAATTTCTAACTGTATTAATTTCAGAGATTAAACGGACAGCTTAAAATATTCCAAATTTGTATTATTTTGTCCATAAATTTTCTGTATGTCTAAATCAATTATAAAATTTTCTTAGACTCAAGCAAGCAATATTCATGTTCTGTTAATTTGGCTTTATATATATGACTCTTATGTGCTGATGTTGAATTTCTCTCAGATAGCCTATAAGACATTAATAAAGACAATTTAGCGAAAAACATCGAATTCTAAGCAAAGTTTTCGGCATCGAATTTATGTGTAAATAAACCCTCTTACTCTAACCCAAATCTAACCATAACTATATTACACCCTAATCTTAGCATAATTTGGTCTTTAATAAAATTCTTAATACTGGGTGATATTAGCGTGGATGAAAATTAGTTGTAAATTTTACGCATATTATTAAATATACTATATCTTTAAATACTGTACCAAAGTTTGACATGTTACATGTACCAACATGAGATTATCCATTTGATCCCCTAATTTCAATATACGGTAATTGCGTATAACTTAATAAACATCTGAATAGCTGGAAATATGGTTATATTCTCGATGACTAACATTAATATTTGTCACAGATGATTATGAAATCGAATGATGGTGAAATTTGGTCCTAATTTAATATTTTGGTGATAGGTTAGAATTTAGGGGCAGAGTTGCTTAGAAAGAGTTTATGTAGATTTCAGTAGGGTTTATATTTTCAAAAAAAGACCCAAGTTTCACTATCATCCGCGACAATATTTAACACTAATTGGTAATAAACCTGTAATGAAATTTTTCTATTATAAGCTGCACCTAAGTTGTTATAGTATATTTTATTAAGAGTTGGCTACTATATTTTAAGCCTAGATTTCGGTATTCAACAATTGAACCAGATTTATGATCGAATTTTGATTCCGAATATAAAAGAGTTGTTTAATGCCTGTCACGAATGAATTCAATTCGTAAAGTTAAATGAACATTCTTCTGATTGGTTGCTATTCTGGAGTATAACGAAGAATCAATTTTTTTTAAAAATAAATTAAAATATCTGTTAGTTTGATGTGAACAAAATTCACAAAATTTGCACAATGTATGAGTAAGACTTGAAAGGATTTATTTGTTCCTTCCAACTTTAGCAAATATAAATAAAAAAATTTATTAAAAAAAATCTTAAATTTCATGAATTACATGATAAATCAACTACTTTACATCTCTACATAAATAATGAGCGTTTGTAACATAATAAATCTAACCTTCCTCTTTCGATAAAATTTTCTTCATCTCCTGAATTAACTTTTTATTATCTTCTAATTGTTGAATTAACTTATCTTCTAATTTTTGAATCTTCTCTTCAATTAATTTATTTTCATTATCAGTTGATTCTTGAATCTTTTTTTCGATTTCTTCTAATTTTTGAAGTAACTCATCTTTATCTTCTACTTTATCTATAATTTTTAGTAATGAATTAGGAAGATATGGCTTATCGATAGTATCGTCCCAATTATTATTTTGTATTTTAGTGACTATTTCATAAAGTTTATCAAGACTAAATCTATAAAACCTTTAAATATTAATTAATGTTAAAAATTATATAAATACTAATAAATAAATCTTTTGCAATAAATCACAATAAATTAATCTTTACATTAGTTCGGGAAACCATTTATTTTTTCTACGCTGGTATGGTAGCATATAAAACAATTCTATTTCTGATAAAATCTATTTTTTTAAATAAATACAAAATAATTATAATTATCAATATATAATTGAGCGATATCTAAATAAAAATATTACCTTTGCTCTTTGAAGTAAAAATAACTCTTTTTTATTCGTTTCACCAATAAAATTAGACAACAGTCCAATAAACAAGTTCATCAGATAGATAGTTGTAAAGAAAGAAAAAAGAATTATCAAAACTGTCAATGTCAGATTTTCAGTTAATGACCAATTGGATATAGAAGATGAATCGCCTATAAATAAATTAAATCATTAGAAATAAATATAATTATTTTTCAGAAAATAATTATTTAAAAATACCTGTTAACATCATATATACAGCCAAATATGCTGCATATAAATTTGTAAACATATTTGTACTTAATTCTTCTGAATTATTTGATATATCAGCTATTGGTCGTAATAAAACATATAAAGAGTGTGCAAAAGCAAACATAATAAGACCAATTATTACAAAAAAAGATAAAGAATTTTGTATAACTCCAATAATCATTGCCCAATGTGTACCACCAAATTCAATAGCTCGAAAAAATGTGATAAATTTAAGTTCAAGTAGTAATATAGAAAATGTAATAGCCCAGATAGGTGTTGTGGAAGATTGTAACCAATCAATAGAAGTTAATATAGGAAATAATATTGCACCTATGTCTTAATAAATATATTTTAATATCATTATTAGTATATACAATTTATAACTATTAAATTTAACTAAAAATAAAATACCAAAATAATTCCAGATATCAGTTATCCAGGATAGTGGAGAATATATACATTGTCGAATTTCAAATGTAAGATGTAAAATTCCAAGAATAATAGTTGTAATTAATAATAGATTCTGAGTATTATTAGATAATTCTTTTATTGTAGCAACTATTAAAAAACATAACATAAAAATAAAATAGAAAATGAAAATTGTAAAGAAATAATATTTTCCATAGGCATTCCACTTGAAATTAATAAGAGCTTCACCATGCCAAGATTTGTATAGTTCAGGAAATTGATGTTTAGAAAAAATACTAGAACTAGGAAAAATTAATTCTTTCCAAAAATTATAATCACTATCATAAGAACTAAACTTTGGTAATGGAAAAATTAAAGTTATATATTTAAACTCCTTATAAGAATTTTTTTTTATGATTCTATGTGTTTTCTCGAATATCATTTTCTCTAGTGTATAAGCCGTGAATAAAAATGGATTTTTGAAGTCATTGCGAATTAAGAAATAATAAAGAAGACAGGGAATAAAAATTACTATATAAAGTACAATAGTAATAAAATAGCCTTTAATTAAAATTAAACCATTAAAAAATTTAAAGAATACTTCAATTATATTGTTACTAAAAGAAGGTTGTAAATATTCCATATGATTCTGAAGATGCGGTTCTGAAAAGAATTTGTTAAATTCAGTATTTTCAAATTTATTAGTTGGATGAATAAATAAAGTATATGATAAAAATTCTCTTAAAAATTGGGGATATTGTGTTAATTCTATAAATGAAAAGGTAAAAATATCTAATAGCCAAATCCCCTCTAAAAAGTTACTATTTTCTGCCATATAGAAAAATTTATTATATAATTTTTCTACCATTTCATATTTTTTTGACTTTAAACAAGCTTTTAAAAGTTCATGTCCATATAATTTTGTTAATAAGTCATCATTTTCAATATAATCATCTAATAACTCTTTAAAATAATATCTTCGTTTAAATAACTCTCTTTCTTTTGTTCCCAGATGAAACATTTCACAATTTTTAATAATGAAATCAAAGTCTGGTACTGGTAATAAATTGCTTCTATGTTTCTGTAAATCTCCTAATACTTTTTCTAATGAACTTTCTGTTAGTATATCATCCCAGTAAATATAATATCGTAACCTAATTTTTTTAAATTTATTCCAAATTGACCATATAAATAATCCAAAAGATGTAATTATTGCTAAATCTTCATTATGTAATAATTCAAAACCTTTATATATAGCATCAGTAGCTTTTATTTCTTTTTCTCTATTATAATATTTAATCTGACTATGAAGTGAAAATAATTCTATGTAATCAATGAATTCCCAATCAAAATCATTTTTTAAAAAAACTGTCACTTTATTATTATTTCTTATTTCCCACTTCACTAATGATCCATTATATGGTCGATTACCATCTTGTAATCCATGTTTATCGTTATATTTTTGCAAAATCTCCACTATTACTGATTTGATAGGTAAAACACTTATTTTACTATTATCTTCTAATACTTTTTGTAAATATTTGCCCCATTGAACCTTTTGAACCCGTAAAATTTCATCTGATATATAATATATTTTGTCATCTATCAAAGTTTTAAATACTGCTTTCTGCATATCTGGTTTCATACCTTCGTTTGAAAGTTCGTCATACATAACTGAATTCTTATCATTGATGATATATTGAAGATCGTAAGGGCTTCTTATTTCAAGATAGCCATTATTATAAATTAAAAGTAATCTTTCTTCTCCACCCATTGAAATGAATTCTAACCGTGATAAAAAAAAGGTATTTTGTAATCTGCCTATTAATTTATTAAAAAGTAAAGAATTATAGTAAATAAACTGGTTTAGTACTGCGTATTTTATAGAAGGTTATTACGTATTATCATTATTATTATTAATGAGAAGTTTCTTTGGATTTGATATTATTAATTAACGCATCAAACTATTCTATTTTACTTATTTTTGAAAAACTATTGGTACGTATACCTAAGTAAACATGAAAAAAAGTGTCAAGATTTCCTGGTTTTACAAAATCTGATGACGCTTCTTCTTACGAACAGAAATATACAAATTAAAAAAAAAAACTTACATTGTGATAATAACTTAGAATTATCCGTCAAATAAGTGTAAATAAATTCATTTGTATTTACCGCAAGTAATGTAGAATTTTTATTAAAAATGCAATTCCATGAACTAAATGCATAATCATCAGTGGAATAGTATGCATATAATTGATATTGTTTTTCAAATAATAGAGTATTTAAATTCCATTGTGTTAACGACCCACATCTATCAAGAAGCATTATCTTTTCATCACTTAGATAACAATCCACCACATCTTTTCCACAGGAAATCGAGTTACTAATTGTCCAGATGTTTTTATGTAAATTTTTTGGTGAATATTTATGAATAAAATGACCATAAGCATATGTTACTATATATATATATAAATCTCCATTATTAAATCCAATAAATCCAATATTTCGTAAATTTGGATCCAATTCTATGTTTATCTTATCCTTGGTAGCAAGATCAATAATATACTCTATATTGATATATCTTATTTGGATCCATTTCATGGTTCCTATTGCGACATATTTATTATTTGAAACTGCTAATGGACGTTTATCCTCGACTTTTTCTAAACAATCAAACTCAAATTGATATGATTTGTTTTCTGATTGTTCACCTAATTTATTTGTGGATTGTTCTACTGATTGCTTTATGGGTTGATTATTAAATTTCCATCCACAAATTAATTTATCATTTACACTCCATGTCACTGCGTATTCGCCATTTGGTGATAGCAATAGTTCATATATTTTATTGCGAGGTTTAGGTTGTTCTCTTTCAACAAATTCAGCCATTTTTTTTTTCTCAAAAACGTTTCGTATGCAACTTTATTCTTTAACAAAGTATGGCTTAGAGTACTGTTTGCCACTGTGCCTACATTGGCTTAGCTAATGGCTATTACAACTTAGCCGACTTAAACAATTCAGTTGATTAAGGCTTAATACAGTGAAATTATAAATAATAAACATAATTTTCAAGTTTAGATTTAATGTTCGATATTCAAACTCAGTATGCTTTACATAAATTATAAAAATTCACGAGATTTCCTGCATATTATCACTTATTAGAAAACATTTTTTCACAATTTTAATTGGATAATACAATTTAAAACAATATTACACCTTTATGCTGTATGACAAATTTCACAAATTTGATTGGTTACCAATTTTCCTACACCAATCAGATTTGTATATTTGTTTGTGTAATTGCACAAAAAAAATGCATGACGGGTCAGCAGTACGGCCGATCTATCAAGAATCAAGAACGGGTATTCTTGTCACAAAAAATACATTTAACTTCTAATTACTTAATAGTTTAGCAAACAAAAAATAAAATCATTGGTAAAAAACCATATCATATTTTAATTAAATAATAACCAGTAATATATCTGATATCGATACGTATAGTACAAATTATAACTTATTTACCGTATTCCTCCGAAAATAAGCACCATTTTTGCTATAAGGTTGCTTATTTTCGGAGGAATACGGTACTATATATTTACTAGGCAATATATGTAGTTTAATATATTTTTAGTTAATATGTTTAGATACATATATTACCTAGTATAGTATATAGATAGGATATAATTTGTACGTACAATATATTACTGATGGGTCTTGATTTACGGTAGAACAAAATACAGCACCATACATTAATAAAATATTATCGTTATACTTTTACCCGTGTAACATAGTACGAAATATTATCGTTATATAATCGCAAATTATAATTCCACTCGTCCTGATGCCTGGAAGTCGTACATATGTATACGTACCTTATCTGTTATAATTTAGCTTCATCATGTCAAATGGAAAAAGCTTGTCAAGCATTTATAATTATCCAACTACAGAATTTTCAATAAGAAGCACTATTCATGAAGAAGATAAAGCTAATAATACTTCAAAACGAACACAAGATTTTCTAGATCGAGCTATTGAAGAATTATGCGATATATATAAAAAAGAAATTATGAAAGGAAATTATAATGACTCAATTATTTACTCAATAGATCAGCATTTGACAAATAGGCAGCAAAAACCAGAAGAAATAGTTAATTTTTGTTTAAATAATCAAACAAATCCTATCGTTCAAACTAATTCTATCATTCAACATATCCTTGGAATGTGCTATGACTATGGAAAATGGATTAAAAGCAATAGTCATCTAGCATTTATTCATATCAAAATTCAGCTGAGTTGGGAAATTCTAATGGAATGAATGATGTTGGCTTTTGTTATAAATATGGAGTTGAAATTGAAAAGACAAACATGAGGCATTCATTTGTTATCAAAAATCGGCAAATTTGGAAGACCCATTTAGAATCAAATTACTCGGTGATTGTTATCGAGATGGAATTGGGGTTGAAAAAGATGTCAATAAGGCATTGAGTTATTATCGAAAATTAGTTGAAATAGGCCATGCTATTGGAATGAACTGTCTTGGAGATTGTTACGAAAATGGAATAGAAATCTTTAAGCATAATGCATAATGCAAAAAAAAAAAAAAAATACAAAACTAGAATAATCAAAAAATTGTTTGTGACTTAAATTTTGCCTATAAAACTGCCTTTTTTCTGGAAGGTTTTTTTTTAAGAACTTTTGCATTAATAAAGTTCTTCTAATCTAGTATAATAAAAAAATCTATATACGTTTTAATATCTTTAAAGATTATATATAGTGGGACCAGCTCTAGAGCATGTATTTAGAGAGGATTGCAATTAGAGAACACTAATAAAATCACAATGCATTTATTATTACGGGATAAATATGGCTTTAGTAGTCTAGAAATAATGAATTTGATTGGCTGGATGCATTTATAGAGAGAGTTTTTATAAGTGGGCCAGACAATTAGCGTGCACTTACAGAATAAAAAATGTGCTTTTATCTATAAGTCCCACCATGGGCCCAGGCTTATATTATGCATTTAAAGAGATGCTGCATTTAGAGAGGGTGTATTTAGAGAGGTCTGGCTGTATAATGTTAATAAAAACACACAAATAAGGTAGCTGTGCGATGTCATCAAACAAAACCAGGAACTGGAAAGTATCTAGATATTAAGTGGTTTCAGCACTAATAGTTTTTCTATCTCTTAAACTGTAAGCTGATCCAGGCAAATTTGCCTGCAAAAATTTATCCAATAATCGCACATATTTACCCAATTAAAGTATGTATTTAAATGAACTAATCAAGTTATGGATGTGTTGTAGGGTTGGGCAAATGTAAGTTACAATGTAAGTTACAATGTAAGTTATACTGTAACTTACATCTAGCGAATGTAAGTTATATATATATATATATATAATTTTTTAAAATTTTTAATTTAAATATCTATTTAAATGGTTTATTATTAAAATTTTTAGTAAATTATTATAAATAATTTATAATATAGTAGGTGACTATAAATATTATTTATTGATCGATAGATTTAAGGCAAATATAACTTATTGGATTTATTAATTTGACGTATCAATTTTTAGTGCTGTAGTGAATGATCTAAAGTGAGGTATTTGTGTTTATAGATATTTGGGTCTTGCTAGTGCCAGCATGTGTCCTATTAAAACACTATGCCAGGAATGAGCATAGATACTATGTTTTAATAGTATGTGTGCCGGCACTTGCAGAGCTTTAATATTTACTGTTATTAATGTTATTAGGTTTGTTCATTCACACTAATTGATTTATTACCGTATTAATTAAGTACATAGATGTTTTCATTATATAATTATTAAGCTTATTTATTCGAACTTTCTGTTTAGTAGATAAGTATAAAATATAGATATTTACAAATGTGCTAGTAACTATACTCATATTAATGAATAAAAACATTTGTTTAATTATAATTTTACAAATTACTTAACTCATTATTTAAGAATTATGTATTTAAAATTATATGTATTTATTACAGTATTAAAATAAAATTAATTTATTTTAAATAAATTTTCAAATACTTCGAACATAAATATTTAAACGCGACTAATAAGTGAAATAAATCTTAGTAAACCTTGATGAACTTATCCCAAATATATTAATTAATAAATGTCACGGGTGATCATGAAATTGGATGATGGTGAAATTTGTGGTTTCCTTTTGAAAATATAAACCTTACTGAAATCAACTCTAATTCTAAATTCTAACCTAACACTAAAAAAAAGCTAGGATAATACACTCTAAAAAGTTCTAAAATTTCATATTAAATTAGTTCAAATTTCACCATCATCCGATTTCATGATCATCCGTAACAATAAATATTCACTCACCTGGGTAATATAATTAAGATAAATTAATAAATAATGTAAGTCTTGAATAGCTTATTCCAAATATACATGTTGTACCCGGATTGAAATTCACACGATTCAGAATCAGAACAGTCACGGATGAGAATATTGTAATTTTTATTCAAATTATACCACCAAAAGTAAAATTTTTATATTCTAAACCTAAATCTAACCCTAACATCAACCCTAACCCTAACACTAAAATCCTAATTCTGCAAAAAAATTCTCATCTGAGACAGCCTGATTCTGAATTGAGACAATTCCATTCCGGGTACGACATATACTTAGATTAATAAATATTCACATACCAGAATATTTCATGAACTTCAAATGCTTAATTAATAAGCATTCATGTACGTACTGGAAAGCCTTCATTAACTTATTCCAAATATTTCGATTAATAAATTTAACAATGAAATAAATATACTATAAATGACAAAGAAATTCTCTTCGATAATAAACACATTATAATTTAGACCTAGATATGAACCACGAGACTTTATTAACCACGATATAACTATTCACTTAGGTATTATATATCCAGGGTCTATCAAATATTTCAAACCTGATTAAATATAACAGGCCCGGGCTCTTGTATCTACTTTCATTGTCTTTAACCGGTAGCTTGACAAATGCTAAAAAAGATCGCTTAAAATATGATTTAATTGATAAAATTATTTCTTCTAATTTGAAAAAGCAACTTTAACTTCGGGTCTCATTTACCTTTTTTAATTTAGCTTACTACAAGGGATTAATTGGGATGATCGAAACTAGACACTTTATACTGTCTATTCGAATATCGTTTATAACAAGTGATGCATAAGAATATTGTGAAGCCTCGCGTTGAGTTTGACGCAGAAAAAAAAGATGCAAGGACCAATAAAATTCAAGGATCGTCATGTCGATTATCCCAGAACCTGATTTCCTAATTTGGTATAATCCCAGACTGGAACATTTACAATAACTATCTGTTGTATATAAATTAGGATAGCGAATTTTTAAGTTTTGCATAGTTGGTAAGTTGTTTGTAAGAATTTTAATATAGAAGAAGTATTTTTGAAAGCAATATTCTAAAGGGTTAAGAAATTTAAATATAATGTTTCAGTTTATTTCAGATGTGTAATTGCTAAGAAATTTGAGTAAAAACCAGGAGATAAGTTCTTGAATTGTAATAATGTTTTTGATAAAGGATCAGCCTTTGATAGTTATAGTATGATTAAGCTAGAGAAAATGGATCAAAAGGTCAAAATATGTATAGTTGATAATCATAGTAAGTTTAGAGGAATCTTGTTTAGCTAGTAGATCTGCTTGGTTATAAAGAGTATCAGTTGAGTGTTATTTGACTTTAATAGAGATAATAGAAATATTTCTTGTGGTTTTAAGAGAGTTATATAATTTTTACTTAATTACAGTACTTAGAACTGCAATAAAATGGTTACCATATTACTGCATAATAATATACAGAGTAAAATTATAAATTTTGGTCTAAATTAAGCTTAATTCAGGCCAAACCTCAAA